AAACAAACAAACAAAAAAAGTACAGACTTCCAATAGTAAAATAAATAAGTAACCGGGATGTAATGTATAGCATAAGGAATATAGTCAAAATATTTTAACAACTTGGTATGGTGATAGCTGGTACCTAGAATTATCATGTATATAAACGTTGAATCACTGTGTTGTACACCTGAAACTAATGTAATACTGTGTGTCAACTACCCTTCAATAAAAAACATAAAAATAAAAAAATAAAATATATAAAATAAAAAATAAAAAATAAAAAGTAAGGGGCAGAAAGAAGAGAATCTGGGCCCAGAGGGGCCCACCGGGTGTCTAACCCAGCAAAAGACTGTAAAGCATTTTGCTTCCCAAGCCCTTCGGATCACTTTCCTCTCATTTTTTAAATTGAAGTACAGTTGACATACAATATTCTATTAGTTTAGGTGTATTCAGGTGTACATCATAGCAACTCGATATTTTTAAATGTTATGAAGTGATCCCCAGGGTAAGTCTAGTCACCACACAAAGTTATTACCATACTATCGACCGTATTCTTGATGCTGTACATTATGTTGCCATGACTTATTTATTTTATAACTGGAAGCTTGTGCTTTTCAAAAGACAAAAAATAACAAGTGCTGGCTAGAGAAGGAAACCTTTGTGCACTGTTGGTGGGAATATACATGGTACAGACACTATGGAAAACAGTATGAGGTTCCTCAAAGAATTAAAAATAGAAGTATTATATGATCCAACAATTCACTTCTAGTTATTTACCAGATGAAAAGGAAAACACCAGTTCAAAGAGATATATGCATCCTATGGTCCGTGCAGCAGTACTTACAATAGCCAAGATATGGAAGCAACCGAAGTGCCCATTTTAGATGAATGGATAAAGATCACGTGGTACATATACACAATGAAATATTGCTCGGCCACAAAAAAGAATGAAATCTTGCCTTTTGCATCAGCATGGATGGACCTAGTGAAGTAAGTTAGAGAAAGACAAATACCATATTGTCTCACATGTGGAATCTAAAAAACAAGACAAACAAACAGAATGAAACAGAAACAGACTCATAGACACAGGGACCAAACTGTTGGTTACCAGAGGGGAAGGGGGTGGGAGTGGGTGGGCACAAAATAGGTGAAGGGGATTAAGAAGTACAAACTTCCCTTGACAAAATAAATAAGTCTTTTATCTCATTTTAAAGGCCTATCTAATCAGAAATCCTACGAAGTCAAGGAGAACTCAGTTGATGTGCAGTAATCTAGAGTTTAAGTTCCCAAATTCTGCTACCCCAACTGGGAAGGATATATTCAGAGTTAATCAAATTGGGATTCATATGTGAACACTCATTTATGGCTAGACACACTCTTGTACAGGTACATTGTGGGTTAACTAGATGGGAGGTATTGTTTTCTATGAAAAAAAATCTATATATCAAATTATAAACTTATAGGAATTTCTGATTACATGCTCAATAAATGGTAGCTATTATTCTATAGTCATAATTAACCTGCAGCATGTTAGAAATGTAGGATCAAATGAAATTGATATGCCCAAGTATGTGGTAGAGGCACAAAGGTGCTACAGGCTGATAGGAATGGCTGATCAATGTTGGCAGAAAATCTGATAGACTATGAATAAATAAGATGAAACCTGACCAAAACTATATAGTTCACTTGAAAAAATGGCACTCCTAACTTGAAATATTTGTGGAGGTCAAAGATACAAAATGCATAATGTGCATTCAAGGTTGGTTAACTAGACCATATGAGAAACTTATTAACCATAAGAAAATGACTTTAGTCATGAGACTGTACCTCCTAAATAAAGACATGATGATGCCAAGTCTCTATAATTCTGAAAACAGTACTTAATTCTAACGAGACATACAATTATGGATACAACTACATCCTTATTCAATTAAAAGCTATGTATCAGTTTCCTGGGGCTGCCATAACAAATTCCCACAAATCTGGTGGCTTCATTTAGCAGAACTGTATTCTCTTTCCCCGTCTGAAAGCCAGAAGCCTCTGAAGACTTGGAGAAAGTTGATCCTTGCAGCTCCTAGTTTCTAGTGGCTGGGCAGTCTTTGGCGCTCCTCAGCCCGTGGCTGCACACCTGCAATGTCTTTCTCTGTCTTCACATGGCCTCTTCCATGTCTCTGTATCAGAGCTCCTCAACCTTTCTCTTACAAAGTCACCTGCCAATGAACTTAGGCTTCCACCCCCAACAAATCCAAGAAGGCCTTGTCCTGAGATCCTTCACTACGTCACACCTTAGACCCTAGACTAGAGGACGATCCTACTCCTATAGTCACGATCTACAGTGTGTCTTCCCAGCACGTCCCCTCTTCCTGGCAGCTCCCTGCTTTTATGACCCCACCCCTCGGATTCATCCAAGGAGAGGGTTGTAAACTAAGCTGGTCTGATGGGATTTCCTTGGGATTTTTGACCCTCTGACTCAGAATACAAAGTAACCCACCCAAACCCACCCATCCCCACATGAAAATCTGAGACATTCAATTTGATACTAGAAAGAGATAAAGGTGAGTCTTCTCTGGTGGGGGAAATCATGAGATGAAAACCTCAAGATTTTTTCAGTGGTGGCTTTTGTCCCATCCAGTGCAGGAAGTGTGTGGAATGAGAGAGAATGAAGCCAACATACTGAGTAAAGGAGAGTCAACAACTGGGGAAAAAGGCCCCTGGTGGCATTTATGTCCCTGGCTCGTTGTTCCTCAGCTACACAGCATCTCTTCTCTTCTGGTTTTGTAAGGTCGATACTTCCCTGGACTCCTGTGGGGCCTGCAGCACTCCCCTACCCAACAGAAGGCCGTCGCATCTTTAGTAGATGTCCTAAGTAACTCAGTCCTGCTGGGCACACCTCACTAAACAGGCATGTCCTGGGGGGGTCTTGCCATGATTGTGACATCTGCAGGGTGGCTGGGGAAATGAGGAATGGCTGAAGGCACCACAAGTCATAAAGGTGTCTAGTGTGCTTATGACGCTCATCCTGGTATTGAGGGAACAGAGCTCCCTCAAGGAGGAAAACTTAACTGCCCCAAATCTGGTAGAAACACCAGAAGGGTATGAAGTAGACTACCAAATTATGAGATGTAAGTCACAGCTACATGCCGATCAGTCTTCTCATGATAGCAAACAAAAACAGAGGAAACTCCCCTATCAACATATCTGTTATGCCAACATTATTATTTTAGCCACCACCTACACCTATGATGTAACCAGTTACTAGTTCATAAACCCTTTATTGTCACACAGAATAACTCACATCTAGGACTAAGTTCCAGCATTACTATTGCAGATACAAATTAGGGGTAAATTCTCATGTATCACTAAAGCATTAAAACGTGACCTGTTAAAGGTCCCTTATCACATAGACTGGTACACATTCTAAGTCAATGAATTAGTTACTTTATGAAGACTTTATGAGGAGCTTGAATCATCTTTACATTTTAGATGTAAAATTTCAGCTTATGGCCAAATACCAAGTATGAAAATCCTCCTTTCAGAGTAAACTTTGTTAGTTGGCGTACATT